CACACACACACACACACACACACACACACATACATATCCCGAGGGGCGGAAACCCAACACCCTCCCGGCGCCCGGTGGCCGGCAGGAGAAGCAAGGGCGGTGCAAATCACGGTTTCGAGAACCGGTATACCACCCTTGTCACTCTCATGAAGGGGAAGGGGAAGGGATGACAAAACGGCGAGGGCAATTCTGTGACGACGTCGGAGGATGGAGGCAACTTAGAACAACGGACCCCCCTTAGCGAACAGGGGGTCCGGCGGATTCGAACCGCCAGATCCACCCTACCCAGCAGGGGGGTCCGGCGGAGTCGGGACGCCGGCGTTCCCAGAACAAGTAAGGGGCCCGGCGGATTCTGAACGCCGGACCCCCCTTAACGAACAGTGGGCCCAGCGGATTCGAAACGCCGGACCCCCTTTCGCTCGCGAAGAAGGGGGGGGTCCGGCGGGTCCAGTGCGCCGGGCCCCTTCACTTGTGCAAGGGGGTCTGGCGGAGTGGGGACGCCGGATCCCCTGTGCGGAATAAGGGGTCCGACGGATTCGGAACGCCGGACCCCCTCTTCGTTACCCTGGGTCCGGCGGATCCAGAACGTCGGATCCCTTGTTCGTTACCGGGGGTTCCGGCGGAACGCCGGACCCCCCTTGGCGAACAAGGGGTCCGGCGGATCCGGAACGCCGGACCCCCCTTTGACGAACAAGGGGTCCAGCGGATTCGAAACCCCGGATCCCCATTGGCGAACAAGGGGTTCCGCGGATCCAGAACGCCGGACCCCCCTTGCCGAACAAGGGGTCCGGCGGATCCGGAACGGATTCCCCTTGCCGAACAAGGGGTCCGACAGATTCGGCTCGCCGGATCTCCCTTATGGGAAGAGGGTCTGGTGGATTCGGAACGCCGGATCCCCCTTGCCGAACAAGGGGTGCGGCGGATTCGGAACGCCGGATCCCCCTTGCCGAACAAGGGGTCCGGCGGCTTCGGAACGTCGGATCCCCCTTGCCGAACAAGGGGTCCGGCGGATCCGGGACGCCGGACCCCCCTTAGCGAACAAGGGGTCCGGTGGATCCGGAATGCCGGACCCCTTTTCGCTCGGGAAGGGGGGTCCGTCGGGCCCCTTCGCTTGTACAGGGGGGCCGGCGGATTCGGAACACCAGATCCACCCTGCCCAGCAGGGGGTCCGGCGGATTCGGGATGCCGGATCCCCTGTAATGAATAAGGGGTCCGGCGGATTCTGAACGCTGGACCCCCCTTAACGAACACGGGGTCCGGCGGATTCGGAACGCCGGATCCGCCTTAACGACCAAGGGGCCCGGTGGATTACCGAGATCTCCTTTGACAAGGTTTTAGGGGCATGGGTGCAATCGATGTCGGGTAGTGTACGGCAAAAGATATGCATGGGGCAGCTTGGGTCGTCCGACCCTGTCTGTTCTCGTGACGTCGGTTAGGGAGGGGTCATTTGCAATCTCTCATGAGTCGGACCTTCGGGTGTGAACGTGTGGCGATTGTCGGCGCTCACTGTGGTTAGGCGTCGTAATTCCCGAGGTTCGGTGGTTACCTCGCCGTCTGCAATGTCTACACGGCGTGTGAGGCCAATACGGGGCTATGGAATTCCACGGCACCACTGTGAGTTCGTGGTATGGGAGGAGGAGATGGAAGGGAGGGAAGTTTGTGGCGATAACGACGAAGACGGGGGATATAAAATATTGCGTGTTATAGGTAGTCGGGTAGTCGGGGCACCTCGGATCGCTGGTGATGGCGTGGTGAAAATCCCTGGCGCACAGTCGGTTCTMAGTTAGGCAGGGAAATTTCGGATACCTTTGCCTAAGATATTCGCCCTCCTGGTGCTCTAGGTACTCTGGGTCCCGTATGTACGTCATGTTGACATTGCGGCGCACGTGTTTGATTGACAAGGGAATTTCCGGGTTTGGTGTCGAAAATTCTGCGCCTACCCCCATATTGGTGATCGTAAATCACAGCGTGTAAACGCATGTAGGCCTCGT